ATATTATCGCTTATCGCAATAAATTTTGAGACAATTAATCGCCCAGCAAAATTTGTTATCGTGACAGGCCTAGTGTAAAGCGCTTTGGGGTCCGGAGGGGCTTGATAAAGGACTCTATAAGTTCAGTCCATTTACCATTTACCATTTAACAGACTTTCCAACGATATAACATTTATTTCCAAGAAGCATTGTTACATCAAAGAAATAAACTACTAAACATTAATTTACTTACTTGGTCTGCAAAGTTTTAAGGGTGTAATAAAATATTGATCTACTGAAATATTTCATTTCCTGATACTATAGAGATTTTAAAATAAAGCCYAAATTATAAAAGTTTCTCGCGATGACATTATGATATAGTAAAAATCGGCAACMAGCTGAGGGGACAAGCTGTCTCTTGTTCAAATGATACACAAGGAAAATCATAACTTATCTCAAGAAAACCATCTGCAAATTAACTTATCTTTAGAAAAAGCTCATTGTTATTTTGTGATAACGACRTAATGTATCAAGAGAAAACCAAAGAAAATAATTGAGTGGAAAATGTCCGCTCTCAGCTTCCGTACTTTCATGTCAGCGGTTCATATTTGTGGTATTTTGTCCTCCGACAGCTAGTTGGCAGCAGTCAGCCAATCGTTGGCCTGTTTTAAGAAATGTAAAGTACAGATTCAGTTTTCACTGTTCAGTAGTCTTCTTGTTGCATAAAAATAAACTAATCAGATGCTATGATGTGCTATTTAAAATGAGTTTTTTWAAAAAAATAGTTTTTGGAGAAAAATAAAAAGGCAATACATCACCATGACCCCATGTCATGATATGATGCATAATTATAATACATAGTCCTATTACGTTTATATAATTTTCTTAGAATTTATAGTAATTATAAGTAATAGAGGAGCAACATATCCAGTATCCTGTATCTCTCTGGTCTCTTGACAGTTGGCGACTCGTTGAAGACCAAAGAAATTGCAAGAAAATAGTCAAATTGTATTTAAAATCTCACTGAATGTGCTCATCATCAGCCATCAGAGGAGATGTTAACGTCTTATCGAGGCTTTTGAGCGACAAGCCCCTTATACTTGGGAGCGTTTTTGGGAAATTGTTGTTGGTGATTTTACTACTTCTGTGATTTTACTACTTCTACCACTTCCTGTTTTCTTCTTTGTTGTCGCCTTTTTCACCAGTAGAAACATCTAGTTTTTGATGATCACATAACTTCTATGATGCGAAAAAAAGTGTTTCCATTGCAGTTTTGCAAAATACACCAATTTCAATACAACCGAAAAACTACCATATCCTAGCGTAAAACCATTTTGTCGAAAAAGGTACGTCTTTTCAAAATTAGTGTTTCCATTAAGCAAATTTATATTCGCAATTCTAATTTGCGCATTTTTATGGTCAATGGAAACACAGCTAGTGATGCTGCACAGCCAGGAATAACTAAAGCAGAGAGCCATGTCAGTGCTCTGGTTGTTTTTTATGGTATAAAAAAACAACAAAAAACAAACAAGTGTATTTGTGTGTGTATATGTATATAAATAATTTGTGTGTTTGTGTCAAATCGGTAAATATCGATTATCGGCCATAACAGCAATATTATTATTAAATATTGATATCGTCTAAAAAATTTTATCTGTGCATTCCTAATTTGGAGCAAATATTTGCCCCAATATTATGTTCTGTTATACATTCCTGTCAAACATTAGTCACCATCGTTGTATAGAAACATTTTCAAAAAGATGAGCTAAAATTAATCAGACTGGACAAATTGTACCACCCAGTGGCATAATTTGTCGATTACTCTGGAAT